GTTTTTGCCTGAGCAATCTAAGCTGAGGGCCTCCTGGGAACAGTGGACGCTGAGAGTGTGCACACATCCCCTACTCCTCCCAAACCCCCACCCTCCAGAGCTGGGAGAGTGGGGCTGGTCACCCGAACACGAACAGAAAGGGGCCCTGCTCCGCCTGGAGTGGAAGCTGCTCTAATCAGCCCCAGTCAGGGAGCCATTAGGGCTGCAGGTAGTAGCCAGCACCACCCTTCAGCCAGACGAAGCCAGGAAGCTGAGGCCTGCTTTTCCCGGAACGCTGATCCGGGCAGAGGGGCTGAAAGGGGTTCCTCACCACACCCTGCAGAATGGCTACAGGGTGAGGGGTGGCTTTCCTGGAGAAGAGCAGCCTAAAGGGACCTGTGAAGGAACAGTCATAACTGATGCCCCAGGGAAGAGAAGCCAACTGCTTTTTCGGTTACTTAGTCCAGTCAAAGAGAGTTTCTCAAAGTGGGATCTCTGGACCTGCATCTTCAATATTACCTGAGACGGTTTCAGAAATCCAAGTGTTTGGGCGCCACCCCAGACCTACCCTGCAAACATTCTGTTTAAACAGGGCCTGCAGGTGATTTGAGCTCATAGTAAATCTTTTTTTTTTTTTTTTTTTCTTTTTTAGTGCCTAGGGTCTGACTGTATCACCAGCTAAGCTCTATCATCACACCCTACATCCTTGAACTCCTGGGCTCAAGTGATCCTTTCACCTCAGTCTCCCAAGTAGCTGGGACTACAGGTGCACCACCACCCGGCTTTCACATTAAACTTTGAGAAGTGCTGTCCAGAGATCAACGAGGCCTGCGTTGTCACTCCCACTTTACAGGCGTGAATACCGAGGCTGGCACCAGACAAGTGCATGGCAAGACTGGAGCCAATCTCCACATCCCACCACCTGAGACTGCCCCAAGTATACACGTCCCAGCGCACTCACCAGGCCGTCGCAGGCGCTGATGGCCGCCAGGCCACCCTCGAGCTCGGGGTCCTGCACCTCGCCAAGCAGGTGGCAGGCGGGGGTGTGGGCCTGGATGTGCGCACGACCCAGGCCTCCGCGCCGCCGCGTCTCGCTCACAAAGCCGGGCGCCAGCAGGTGCTGATTGGCGGTCAGGTTGAAGCGCAGCTCGCGCCCGCGGTATTGCAGCTGGTAGAAGGCGGGCGCGTCTCGGCGCACAGACACATCCCGCTTGCGCAGTGCACGGGGCCACAGCTCGTAGGACAGGAAGGAGCCCCCCGCGTCAACGCGAACCGGGTGCACGATGTCCAGTGCCGCCCGGCCCTCAGTTGCACGTCCTGCAGGGAGAGAACCACAAACGCCTAAGCCCAGGGCAGACCCGGGTCCTTGCTGGTGGCCGGAGACAAGAAGGGAGCGGCCAAGAGGGGGCTGCTGGAGTCAGAGTATCTGGATTCAAATCCTCCCTGGGCTATCTACTAACTTTGCCATTTCATCTTTCCGTGCCTCAGTTTCTCCATCTGGATCGTTGCAGTAACTTATTTTGTTGTTGTTGTTTGTGTTTGGGGTTTTTTTTGTTTGTTTGTTTGTTTGTTTGTTTTGAGACAATCTCGCTCTGTCTCCCGGGCTGGAGTGCGTGGTGCGATCTCGGCTCACTGCAACCTCCGCCTCCTGGGTTCAAGCGATTCTCCTGCCTCAGGAGTAGCTGGGACTACAGTCACACGCGACCACGCCCAGCTATTTTTTGTATTTTTAGTAGACACAGGATTTCACCATGTTGACCAGGCTGGTCTCAAGCTCCTGAACTCAGGCGATACGCTCGCTTCGGCCTCCCAAAGTGCTGGAATTACAGGCGCGAGCCACTGCGCGCCCGGCCTGGATTGCTGCGGTAACTTCTTAACAGGTCTCTCTGTTTCAACTATTGCCTACCCCAGGTGCCCCTCCCCTCGTGTTTTCAATATAGAAGCCAGAAAGATTCATTCAAAACCAGCGCGATCATGGTCTTACTCTGCTCAAAATCCTACAATCGTGCCCATCTCACGGAGCAAAAGACAAAGTTCTGGCCTATATGAGGCCCTAGGCAAGGTAACCTCTCCAGTCTCATTTCCAACTACACCGCCTTAGTTCCCTCCACTCCGCCCACTGGCCTCCTTGCAGTTCCTCCACAGGCCAGACATGCTCCTGCTTCAGGATTTTGCATTGATGTTCCCTACACCTGGAACACTCTTCTCTCTGTTTTCCACGTGGCTAAAGCACTCACTTTTGAGTTCTTGCTCAAATGTCTCCTTCTCAATGAGGCCTCCTCTAATGACTTTATTTTAAAATTGCAACTCCCTGGCTCTCCCTATCCCCCTTCCTTGCTTTGTTTTTCCCCATAGCACTTCTGACATACCATATCACTTAGCATTTTCAGTATTTTTTCTATTTATTTGTTTTCTCGCACCCCTCCCAATGTAGTCTAGGAAGGCAAGAATCTACATTCTTTGCACTTTTTTTTTTTTGAAATAGGGTCTTGCTCTGTCACCTAGACAGGAGTGCAGGTGTGCAATCATAGCTCACTGCAGCCTCCAACTCCTGAGCTTGAGCCATCCTCCCATCTCAGCCTCCCAAGTAGCAAGGGACTGGGACTACAGGTGGGTGCCACCACACTTGGCTAATTTTTTTTATTTTTAATTTTTTTAATAGAGATGGGATCTCACTATGTTGCCCAGGCTGGTCTCAGACAAACTCCTGGGCTCAAGCAATCCTTCTACCTCAGCCTCCCATAGTGCTGGGATTACAGGTGTGAGGCATCAAGGCTGGCCCTGATTAATTTTTTTTTTTTTTTTTTTTTGGTAGAGATGGGAGTTTTGCTATGTTGCCCAGGCTGGTCTCAAACTCCAGGCCTCAACTGATCCTCCCACCTCAGCCTCCTAAATTGTTGGGATTACAGGTGTGAGCCACCACACTTGGCCCTTTATATTCTTTGTTGAAGATTTAAGTGTCAGAGGAAGTGTCCAGAACTTAGTCCTTTTTTGGTATTTGTTGAATACCAAAATTCTACTCTGTAGAATGCAGATAACCATAGCACTTACACTCTCGATGCTGTTGTGAAGATTAAACCCGGTGAGCTACTCCACATTTAGCAGTGCCTGAGCCACTGGTGGAATATGATGGCAATTATGATTGCTATGATTATTATTAGCCTGATGGATTGAAAAATGTGCTCTCAGGTGCGTGAACATTCTGCAAATGTCTCCAGGCCTCCTGGAATGGGGAGACAGACAAAGACCACCCCAGTGGGGCTCCCTGGCCCCTAACTGCCACTTCAACAGAGTAGCTCTGGTTTCTTTCTTTTATATACAAGAATTCATTTAAAGAAAGCTTCCAGGGATGGAAAAAATTGGCAGACCTCTGCTCAGGCCCTTGCCGTTTAAAAACCCCTCTCTGTTGCTCTGTCCTCTTGGATTTCCCAGTAAGGCCTGGATTCTTATCCCTTTTTGCCACAAACTCCTTCTCCTCAGAACAATGTTTTGAAATGCAGTAAATAAAATACACAGGAGTGGTTGGGCACAGTGGCTCACACCTGTAATCCTAGTACTTTGGGAGGCCGAGGCAGGCGAATCACTTGAGGTCAGGAGTTTGAGACCAGCCTGGCCAACATAGTGAAACACCGTCTCTACTAAAAATGCAAAAATTAGCCAGGCTTGGTGGCGCATGCCTGTAATCCCAGCTACTCAGGAGACTGAGACAGGAGAATTGCTTGAACCTGGGAAGTGAAGGTTGTAGTGAGCCGAGATCGCATCACTGCACTCCAGCCTGGGTGACAGAGTGAGACCCAGCCACAAAAAATAAATATATTAAATAAAATACACAGAAGTACCAATGAAATTGATTATACTGAAATATAGTTATCCAAATAATTTAAGGCCAGGCATGGTTGTTCATACCTGTAATCCCAGAACTTTGGGAGAATGAGGTGGGAGGATCACTTGAGCCTAGGAGTTCAAGACCAACTGGGCAACATAATGGGACCTTGTTGCTACAAAAAAAAAAAAAAAAAAAAAAATTAGCCAGGCAAGGTGGTGCACACCTGTAGTCCCAGCTACTTGGAATGCTGAGGTGGGAGGCTCTCTTGAGCCCAGGAGGTCAAGACTGCAGTGAGCCATGATGGTACCATCGTACTCCAGCCTGGGTGACAGAGTGAGACATTATCTAAAAAACAAAACATAACAAAACAAAAAATAATTTAAAAAGTAGGGTGTGGAATTAAACAAGATTTTGTGGCATATTTAACAACTATGGTTTTTTGTTGGGTTTTTTTTTTTTTTTTTTTTTTTGTGACAGAGTCTCTCTCTGTCACCCAGGCTGTAGTGCAGTAGCTCAATCTTGGCTCAACACAACCTCTGCCTCCTAGGTTCAAGCAATTCTTGTCCCTTAGCCTTTCAAGTAGCTGGGACTATAGGTGCATGCCATTACACCTAGCAAGTTTTTGTATTTTTAGTAGAGACAGGGTTTTGCCATGTTGGCAAGGCTGGTCTTGAACTCCTGGCCTTGAGTGATCCACTTACCTCAGCCTCCAAAAGTGCTGGGATTACAGGCATGAGCCACTATGCCGGGCAACTATGGAAATGTTGAAGTAGTGATGAACGTAAACCTTATTTCAAGATACGTGCAACAATCGTAATGAGATAGAAAAATATTTGGTTTTTTCTATTGGTAACAAAACCACAGGTGCTGTTGGGATTTGCTAATGATATTCATAATTGAGGGAAAAGCTAAATTTCTTTGAGAGGTTACAAAAAGTAAATATGTAATATTTTCCCATTCAAGTTCATGGATCCCCTGAGTTCACAGTCCCTTAGGCTGTGAAGCCCAGGTTAGGACACCTGCAGTAAGATGTCCAGACTGCTTCCTAGGTGAGAGAGCAAAGGGAGGCTCAGAGAGGTAGACAGACTGGCCTAGAGCCACACAGTGACAGTAAGAATGACAGTGCTGAGACTGGAACTCAAGTCCCCCAAATGATTTCAGTCTCTTCAGTAACATTGCTCTATACTCTCAACACTCCAGCCCTTGCTGGGCCTCAGTTTCCCCATCATTAATGTGAAAAAGTTGAATTAGATCACGTTTCTCAAATCTCTTTGGCCACCAGGTCTAGTCTCAAAAGAAATCTCATGTGCTGGAGTTTGGGAGAGCCGAGCATCCATGCTTTCCTCCCCGGCCTTTTCCCTCTCTGCAGTTCCCAGGCTCTAAAGAGCACAGTTAGGAAACTTGGCAATCAGGAGTTTCTCGATTGGATTTATACCCAGCTCCCAGGATCCTGGCTGTTCACGACAATAGACTCTTCAGGCTCGCATGAATGCCTGAGTGCCCTGCTGACATCCCACCAGGGTTCCTTCTGCTGCTGCCCAGTCCAAAGCTCCATCCCAGCAGGCTACAGAAACCAAACCCGCCCTCCAGTCTGTCCTCTGCCAAACTGCATGTAGAGTGCCCTGCACATGCCAGTGCTGTGCCCCTGCTATCTCCCTCTGCTCCCAACCGCCCCAGCCGTGCCAGCCTCAAAGAGCCTTCTCTGAGAGTCAAAAGACTGGGTAGGCTGGGGCAACGTGCTGTGTGGCTCTGAGCTAATCTTCCCTGTCATTGAGCTTCAGCGGGCCACTAGTGCAAGGATTTTCCAGACCTCACAGATAAGTTTCTTAAAAAAGAGTCCCAGGTCCCATCCCAGACTCACTAAATCAGCATTTCCAGGAAAGTAGGACTAGGGACTGGGAAGCTATGTTTTTACCAAGAGCCTCCAGGAACTGTGATCCTCAGGAAAGTTAGGAAATCCCCCACTGGGAGTGAACCTGACTGGTCATCACAGTACCTGGAGAGCTCTGAAAAACTGCAGATGCCAGGACCCAGCCCAGAGATTCTGGTTCCACAGATCCAGGGCTCTGGGGGCCCTAGAACGTGTGTTTTCTGTATTTTTCTAGACCTTCCCAGGGATTCTGATCTAGCCAATTCAGAGGCTGGCATTCAGAAGCCATCGGACTGGAAAATTTAAGGAGACTTCTTGCTCTGACATCCTAATAAGGGCATATGGGACTACAACTCCTTAATCACAGCATGCAGATTTGCTTGTGTTGATCAGTTATTGATTTTTTGGTTTGTTTTGGCTGACACAAATACTGAAAAACGTTTTAGTCAACTGCCAATGTTGAAGAATCACATGATCTTGGGGCTGGGCACAGTGGCTCACGCCTGTAATCCCAGCACTTTGGGAGGCCGAGGCAGGCAGATCACGAGGTCAGGAGATCGAGACCATCCTGGCTAACATGGTGAAACCCCATCTCCACTAAAAATACAAAAACATTAGCTGGGCATGGTGGCAGGTGCCTATAGTCCCAGCTACTCGGGAGGCTGAGGCAGGAGAATGGTGTGAACCCAGGAGGCGGAGCTTGCAGTGAGCTGAG